TATACGCAGTGGTGCTCTTTCTGGATGCCGTAGTCATTCTGGACAATAGAAGGGTCCTGACATGCCTGAGATTACCACTTGATAAGGAGCATCGTGCCACTCTTTCTCCGATCAGAAGAAGACTCGTTGAGATGATGGTTGGAGTCAGAACCGTTGTTGAGTTTCCACTTCTCTTTCTAAACTGCCTTTACATAATTTATGAGCTGTTTATGGGATGAGAAATTGTTTAAGCCTCATAATGTCCTACGACTCAAAATTGGTTGATTTGCTCGATGAATACTTCTTGATTGATAGTAAAAGTGTTGAAATATGGTTTAAGAAGGTTGTGATAGCAGTAAAGCAGTCGGATTTAGATGCAGAAAGACACTCAAAGGCATTTGGAATCATCAGACTGATGTTGATGAATGAGAATGATAAAATAGTTTCATATGGAAAAATACTGTCGTATTTGATCTATAAAGAAGATAGATTTGGAGCAAAGAACCTGAAAGAATACGCTGAGATAGTAGATAACAATATATCAGTAACAGAAGAACAAGGATGTAAGAATAAGACGGATGAATTTTACGTAAAAAAGAAAATAGGGACATTTTACATTCAGCAGGCACATAGAAAACTGATTTCATTTGAATTGAATGTGGAAGAGAAACTGGGAGTGTGGCTTGATCTAAGAAATATAGCAAGTAGATCAAGTAGAAGAGCATTAGACCATTATTCTGGTAAAATTGTACGATTGTTCAGGGATGATGAGGTGAAGCTGGAACTGTTTGAGAGACTAATTGATTCGAATATGCTCCAAAAATATACTGAAATACAAAATATCAGAAGAATTGAAGACAAAAGAGATCAGGTGGAGTGTAAGATAAAGAACAGCCTTGATGTCAAGTTTGTTGGTTTGGTCGGGCTACTGATTATTCTGGCAGAAAAGGACTGTATCAATACACTCAACGAGATCACATCACTGATATTTGAGAGTAGTGAACCATTTAATAGCAACATATTCAAATACTACCTGATTGAAGCAGTGATATTTCTGATACTCGAAACAAGGGAATTGAATGCCAAATACGACATATACAATGGAATACTGAAGCACGTTAATAGAATACAAGACTGTAATCTAAACAAACAGTCTTTTACCAAACTAAAAGAACTGTTTGAAATCATTAAATTGCTGGGGTAGTTGAAAATGGTAAATTTTCTCCCATGACTTCTGAACTAAGGGGATCCTATAACGAGTTTCTTCTTGATAAAATTGGAGAGATCTTCAGCAAGAAGGAGGCTGATGCATTCATAGAAGCAAATGAGAAGCAGAGACCAACTGTTCTGAGAGTGAACACGATGCTGAAGAGAAGGAAGGACGTGATGGGGATGCTCCATCACAGGAAGGTGGAATTATCGGCATTAGAGTGGTGCGAAGAGGGGCTTGTGGCATTTAAGTCAGCAGTTCCCCTTGGTGCTACGCCTGAATACCTTGCTGGCTACTATTTCGTACAAGGAGCCAACTCATTTCTGCCTGTTTTGAATTTGCAGATTGAGGAGAATCAAAGTGTGGTTGACCTATGTGCTGCTCCAGGAGGTAAAGTAACGCATATTGGGACACTGATGAACAATACAGGCGTGTTGTATGCTGTGGAACTGTGCAAAGACAGAACATACGCATTAAAGGGCAATTTGCATAGAATGGGTATAACTAACGCAATAGTGATAAACATGGACGCAATGGATGTGAAAGTGGGGAAGGTGGACCGAGTTCTGCTCGATGCTCCTTGTTCTGGAACTGGCGTGATATCAAAGGACAAATGGGTTAAGACGAACAAAAGTGAGAAAGAAGTAAAGAAGATTCAGAAGGAGCAGAAGAAGCTCATTCTACATGCATTTGATATGCTGAAACCAAATGGAATAATGGTCTATTCCACATGCAGCTTCCTGGTTGAGGAGAATGAGATGGTCGTAGACTACTTGCTACGAAATAGAAAAAGTGCCAAAATTCAGGAACCTGATGTCAGCATCGGTAAAGACGGGTTTATGAGTTTTAGGGGGGCTGATTTTTCAAACGAGCTGAAGAAGGCCAAACGAATCTATCCTCACGTCCACAACATGGACGGCTTCTTCTACTGCAAAATCAAAAAGATGGCCTAAGCTAGGTGTGATTATAACGCGTTTTAGAATGATCGGTTTCACAATAAATATTTTCAGCCTGCAGGTGAAACCAATGAAATACGTCGTGTTGCTTCTTTTTGAGAGTGCGATGGCCAGGAGACACCACTCTGACTGCCACTCTAGATCCAGGTCCAGACACCACGGAGTAAACATTGTGATCCAAATGGATCAACTAACATGCAAAATGGTATAGCAAAGCACATTGCAAACAGTGTGGCCAACAGTCTGATGAAGTGTCTTGGTAACATGGGCTCATCTGGGCACAATTCAGGGATGCCATGTCCTGATCAGAATGGCTCAGGTGTCTTTGGTAATCAGAAATGCAGTGGCCTTGACAACTTGCTTGGTGGGAATTCTGGTAACACGAATTGCTCTGTAAAGAATCTCGACTACACGTATGCAGTGAATAACATGCTAAGAAATGCAAGACAGAACTCACAGGCAATGCCATGTAACACCACACCAGGAATGGGCAACAATTGTACACCAGGAATGGGAGGAATGAATGGTATGGGTGGAATGGGAAACAACTGTATGCCTGGTATGGGTGGAATGACACCTGGAATGGGTAATATGGGTAATAATTGTATGAATGGTGGGATGATGCCAGGAATGGGCGGAATGGGTCAAAATTGCATGCCTGGAATGGGTGGAATGGGCAATATGGGCAATAGCTGTATGAATGGTGCTATGGGAGGAATGAATAATAATTGTATGGGCGGAATGGGTAATGGAATGGGCAATAATTGCATGCCTGGAATGAATAATCGTAGAAAGAAATACAAGAAATCACAATGTGGAATGGGAAACAACTGTATGAATGGTGGAATGGGAAATAATTGTATGAATGGAATGGGTGGAATGTCAGGTATGGGAAATAACTGTATGCCAGGAATGAATAATAAAAGTGGAATGGGAAATAATTGCATGCCAGGAATGGGAGGAATGATGTCAGGAATGGGAAATAATTGTATGCCTGGAATGGGCGGAATGATGGGTGGAATGGGTGGAATGAATTCATTCAATCCATGTCAGGGAATGGGAATAGGAGGAAATGCAAGTAACGCCTATCCAGGTGGAATGGGATCCAACAGCGGATGCTCAAGCAACTTTCCAGTTGGATGCTACAACGAGCATCCGTCTCGTAGAAACTGTCACAAGAAGTCAAAGAAGCGCTACAAACAGAAGAACAAATGATGACCTATTTTACTAAAAACCAAAATAGAGCGTGTTATTGTCTTGTGTTTTGCTCTCGATCTTCTCTGCATCTAATTCTGAGTCTAATGCAAACTCGCTTTTACTACACAGCAAATACTCTTTGATATCATCAGAATCCATAGAAGAACAAACATCGTCTTGTTGCATGGGTGAAATAAACACAGATTGAATTCATTTAAAGGCGATTCATGTG